GCGAAATGGTGTCCAGGTAATGCGGCAGGGCCGCGTGCCTCACCAGCAATACGTCGCCGGTGCTTCTTCCGCCGCAGAAGGATTGCTGCTTGAAATTGCTACGATTATTGCGAGTAGCGATGGTGCCAGCCACGTTCGTGTCTATCACGGGCTGTTCCTTCAGCACCGGGCCCGTCTCCTCCAATATACCCGCGTTGTTGAGCCTGTAACTTGGTACCACGGGCTGCAACTTATGTTGTTCCTCCCGCGCCGCTGGTACCGTCCTCAGGGAATAATCCTTCAGGAAACTGTTCCTATCCACGCAGGCGTTGTCGCCGCTGCTGACGCTCGGCAGGATCTTCAGCGTGGCGTTCGACGTGGGGTTGTACGCCGCGGACGGATTGAATCGGGACAACGAGGACGATCCGCCACACGACTGCTGTCGCTCTTCCTGGGGGCGCACGCCGTGAAACTCCGTCTTGTTCCCGAAGCTTAGAGACGGCAGCTGCCCGTTGTACACGTTAGCGGTGCCCGACGCCGCGCTGGTAGCGGCGATGCTACGCGTATTCGTCGACGTGGGCGACGTTGTGAATCGAGTTGCGAACAGCTCGGAGATGAAATTCCTGCGCTCCTTCGGGCGCGCGTAGCTGGCTACCTGGGTCCTCCGCGCGTTGTCTGTCCGCGCGATCGTCAACGACGACGTTGCAACGGGTTTCGGCGGGGTGTCTGTGAGAGATTCTGGTGACGATGGAAGATTGTGGCAGCCGGATGAATTTGGAAAGCTGTATTCCCTCGCATCGGTCGCGGCGTTACCGAACAACTGCCACGTCGGGCGAACTGTCCAGCACCACGAATTTTGACAACCCTGAACGTTACCGTCGCGGTTGGATGATTGTTGGCGTGCGATTTTTTTACACGGAGGCCCGTAAGACTGGAAATCACCGTTGCTGAACTGCGATGCCTGCTGGTAGTCAGAATACTCCGGAGTCGGGGGCAACTCCGGAGTCGGGGGCAACCACGGACGGAACTTCGCTGTTTCGTCGGAACTGCAACCAGCAGCGAGGCTGTGGCACCCTGTAACACAGGAAGGACATCGATTGGCAGTAGCAGACTATGAAGGTAAATCGAATAGGGATAGGCTGTAAAAAAACAACGTTCACATTACACCTCCACCCGACATCCATAGATATCTAATTTTTATATATTTCCTTAGGTCTAATTTTATAGGTCTAATCCTTATTTTATTTTACCATTTACTAGAATATAAATCATGCTTATATTCTTGTATAGAAAATATTTAATAATATAGATAATAGATCAATATATAGATGTAGATTTAAGTAGGTAGGTATTTTTATTTTATACAGACATATAAAATAAATTACTGTTATTGCTACTTAAAAAAAATTTAAATTAAATTAAAAATTAAACTACTATTAAAAGGACGAGAAAGTAAAATATATTTCGCAAACAGTATAAAGATATAACTCCAGGGGCGTTAACTAAAAAGAGAGAAAAGGGGGTTAATTAAAAAGAGAGAAAAAGAATCTTGCACGGGGAATTCCGATGTCTCCTCGAGAGATGGATTCATGCTGACGGAGAGAGAGAAGAAGAAAATGAATAGGAGCAAATCCGTGAGGCAAGCGAGGCATGCCGTACGGCGTACGGCTTGATGGCATGCTTGTAGTGGACGCTGGTACGGTGAATAGGTAGGTAGGTCTGGCCGATACGATCCGACGATCGCACTCGTACTCGTACTCGCTTACATGCACCCATACACGCGAGCGCACGCGGATGCATCGTGTACGTGGCCTCCTCAACACGCTCACGTATCGTGCCTACATATTCCATGCGTAAACAAGTGTCGGTGTGTATATGTACACGTAGCGCGAGTGTATACGCGCCAGGTAGGCGCAGATCCCTCTCTTCAAGAAGAAAGACTTGCTCCGGCTAACTGGGTTAGTGGCACATTAGCCAGCCACGGCCGAGTACATTCAGTCGACCAAATTGCCGCGTTTAAAAATATATTTTTGTATAGCGTTGTACAAGAATATGAACGATGCTCTCAGTGAGATAAAGGAAAATCTAGCAAAAAAAGGACTCAATGAGATATTTCATCTCGAGACGAGTATTAAGACTAATTGACATTTGTCTTTCTGATTTTGATATCTGATACGTCCCATATTATGAACCTTGTTTGTAATCACGAAATTATTAACATGAGAATAAATATATTACTATTTGGAAATTTTACATGAAATAAAAAAGAAAAATTAAAAGAATAAAATTTTCCTCTAAATCTTTTTTATTATATATGTAAAAATTTAAAATTTATGTATATTAGAGAATCTTACTGTATATTAAATAAATAAAAATATATATGAGAATTTTATACATATAATTGAAAAGTAGGTTATAACATATCTCTCATGTAAATTAATATCATTTATAATATACGTGAGTGCGTGCACGTATGTATATATGTACTACCTACACAAAAAATAAATTATTTAAAAAAAATTTAAACATAGCAATGATAATACGTGACATATAAAATAATGCTATTAGAAACAATGTTATTAGATTAAAAATGAATATTAAAAATGACAAAGACTATAAACATAATCTAGTTATTTTTGCTTAATATGGGCAATTAGATTAAACATTGAATTTTTAAATTTGAGAGAGAAACGCTCTTCCTGTGTGACTCTTCCTTGCTCTTTGTACTACGCTATCTTATTAATATTCTTGCGCTTGTTCATGTATGTAATATATGTGTAATGTTACTTCTTCTGCAATAAGAAAATATTAAAAATAATAAAATAAATAATATATATAAATGATTTAAGAAATAATGCAAAATATAATAAAAAATAAAATAGTATAAAATAAATAGTAAAATATGATATAGGTGGCAGTGTAGTCTAGTGGTAAAGCGCCATTTAGTAAAATATGATATAAAAATATATGAATAAATAATATAAAATAAGTTAAAGCAAATCGATCATTAAACTGGTCATTAATATATTAAGTGTGAACTTATGAGTGCAAATGTTTGTGTACACCGCAAATGCATATCAAAAGAATATTATGCTAATTAATACTACACTAATAAATAGTGTATATAAAATAGTTTATTAATAAAATAATATATTAATGAAACCTTAGTAATATTAATTGACCTTAGTAATATTATACTAACCAATTAATAATAATTAACTAATTATACTAACTAATTAAGAATATTAATTAATTATACTAATTATATTGATTAGTAGGACTACGCACATGATTTGTGAAACCAGGCAATAATCTTAAATCTTTAGCATTAAAAAATTTGCAATTTTGAAATTGATAGTGCTAAATAAAACAAGGTCACACATATTGAAGAACGTATCAGTATAAGACGATTGTAGGATATTACGAATTGTACGAAAGACTTAAATATATGTGTAATTAATTTATGTCGTAGCGTTTTTGCCACAGTTGTATATAAAATTTCTCGCGTATAAAAATGTGCATAGTCCGACGATTAATGGTATATTTATATTATATTAATAAAAACTGAATATATAATACGTGAATCGTTGATTCGATCAGCGTTTTTGGTTTGCGGATTCGTGCTCGTACCCTCATTCGTTATATCCTTGTTATATCCTGCTCTCGCATCGTTTACGGCTCTCGTTATTTTTTGTTCAGCTAATTTCATGGCTTCTCTTGTTTTGACGATGCTGAGACGTTCTCTCATGTTCGTGCTGTTTCACGGCTGTGCCAACTTCGTAATCTTCTTGGTCTTCCAAAGTAAGTAGATTTTGTCAGAACTAGAGTTTTGACTTAAAATATGCGATATATACTTTAAGTCTTGTTGATTTCTTTCACCAGTGTATTTTCATTGACGATCTGTACATAAAGGATAATAGTGTTAATAAGAATTTCACTGCAAAAATCTGATACATGAATATTCAGGCAAGCTGATAAGCAGAAGTGTTAGTGCGAAGCAGCATTGATTGCATTCACAAATAAGGCATTATCAGTACAGTTATAGTTTTTCGCAATATTCATACATGTGTCAGTACTAATTTTCGATTTCTAAAGTCCCCTTTGGCCAAAAGTCAATTATATATTGATTGTACAAAAATACAATTTATAATTATCTGTTAACCGAAGAGGAGATTTACACAGGCAAACAAGTTCTGATACAATTCGGTTTTAACATAAATTTTTTTATTAAGTTTGATAGATCATGGCACACTTTCTTTGTAAACTTTTTGAAAAATTGCCGCGTCATCAAAGAAACTTTAGCAAGCTATAACTTTCTCAAATTTAGGTTTTTTTTTAATTCAAAAAGTACTAAAAATCGGCTTACATTCTCTACATTAATTATGGATACCGCTTGATAAAAAAAAAAAATGTTAAAACCGAATTGTGAGTGCTGTACTTAACCCTTTCTGTACGGAGAGCAATTATAGACAGTCACTGTCCACATGCTCCTCACTGCGGCCGAGCAACTTGAAATGTTAACTTGAAATGTTTCTGTTGATACATTTTTTTAAATGTTTTTGTTATTGAGTTTTATTAAATATAATAATTGAAAGCGTTAAACGTCGAGTGCTTAGCTCTTTCGACTGAATCGCGTGTTAATAAGTCGGTAGATCGGCGCTTCCGGCGCTTCGGTCACTGCAATGGAGGGCCGTTCGCATCCGGGGGCCCGATTCTCTAACGACAAACGCATGCGTAAACTCTGCTCTAATAGAAAAGCTGCAAGCTTATTGGCTAAAAACTGTGCGATAGCCAATGAATTTGCAGCCTTCCCTTATAGAAATTTAATACTGTAAGTGATTTTTTGGCTAGTAATTAATCACTTAAATATTAAAAGCACTGTTAATAGTGCTTTTAATAGTGCTTTTAAATGATTAATCACTAGCCAAAAAATCACTTACAGTATTAAATTTCTATAAGGGTTTCTGTTAGAGCAGAGTTTGCGCATACGTTTCTCGTTAGAGAATTGGGCCCCTGTGGTCGCTCCGTACCGGAAGGGTTAAGAAAGAAATATACAAATATATCGGTAAGAACGCATCCTGCAACAATTATACAATATTTGCGTCTACCACAATTCCATTTGTTAGATTTTTCTGCAGACAAGCAATTTAATTTTTTTCATTTAATTTTATTTGTTGCAAAAATGTTTCGTTTCAGAATTCGAACAGTATTGCGCAATAGTGCTGCATAATCATGTTATCAAAATATTGCGATTACATCTTTTTACGACATCTCATGCATTATAATTTCCAAGACTGCAAAACTACTGCAACGTAATGCGTAAATTAGGAAGTATATCTTATTCGATTTGGCATATTTGCATATTTACATTGTTACAAAGTTTATGCGTGATCATGTGACCACGCGACGAATGAGAAAGCAATCTGAGGCATTGAGAGAATTGAAGTAGCGAGAGTAAGATTGATGAACAGTAGAAAAGCAGAGGCTAAGCAAAGCGGAGTTTAACTACATTTTTGTTGAAACATTAAGTAGTTTAATATGTAAGAATAAGCATCTCTATCAAAATAATACATATAATTTTAACTTCAGCTTTGAATTCATTGTGTACATACATATATACATATATACGCAACAAGGTTTTATATACATTATCTTTACAACTTACAGAAAATTGTTATATTTTTATTTGTGACTAGATATTGTTATATTAGAAGAATTGATAACAATTTACAAAAAAAAATTAATTTGTAAAAAAGCAGAAGAAGCTATTTTAACTTATGTTAATTGCATAATTAATAAGCTTATTAGTTAACTTAATAAATTAGTTACAATTTATTAAGTTAAGAGAGTAATAACTATCGAACGAAATGAATTGTGCATATATTATAATAGCATGTTTATGTGTTGATAACATTACAGTTAGACTAGCTATACCATTCATTATTAATAATATGTTTGTATATTTAATCATAATCTTTAATAATAATAATTAATTAATTGACACTCACCTGTATCAAAAAGTGCGAGATATATCAAATTTAAACACATGCTGCACCATTTTTTTGCATTAATTT